GCAAATGCGCTTGGAACGGAAGTCGTAAAGGCGGGGAACATCGCGAAATGACCTGGGTAATAAATGTCCGAGTGATAAGACTAGATTATACGAAAATGGCAACCAGAGTGATGGAGAAATGGCGAGAAGTAATGAAGAGGGAAAAATGTGATTAAACTCGGACCTGTTGATAGGTAACGGTGCGCTTTGCTTGAAAAAGGGAAACGCGTTCCGAAAAACACCCCCATACAGCAAACCTGCGGACTTAAAAAAATTTCAGTTGCATAATTTGATTTTTACTAAAAACGTTTCTTGTATGTCATATGTACTCCCTGGTTAAATAACATTAGTTATAACGAGTACTTAGGTTTGCTGCTAAGAGAAAGACAAACTGTGGGTATTGTTTCTTTTGTAAAATTTTAATAGTATTGTATACATAAAATATACAAAAAAGGGCATCAATTCACAAATTGCTCAGTTTATAGGGCCTGAAACTTGTTTCCGAGGCAAAATGAACCTAGTGCAATGCCCATTTACCTTTTCAAATTTATGATTGTTTTAAAATATCAGTTTAGTAGGACGTTTGAAAAGAGACGTAACTGAGAAAATCCTACTGTTTTAATTATTTAGAAGATTTGCCACAATGGTCAAATTATAAACGTAAAGCAAACTAAAAAAGTTTAGTTTTTCTCTTAAATAACAAAAGAATTTGAATGTAATTTTTTTTATTCTGACTTTTATTGTACAAAAACTCTTCGATATACAAACAAATTGTTGGTTTTTAAGCTCTATATGGTGGCAATAACGATCATTTGTCATTTTTCTGTTTTAAAGGTGAATATTTAAAAACCCATATTTCAGCTTTAAAAAAACTTAAAGCTTTAAAGCTTTAAAACCCTACAACAAACCCCGTTCCCAAGACCCAATCTAGGTGGTTACTGAACTCATTCATGTTTATCCAGACTTTATGCCAAATTTAATCAAAATCTGACAAAAACTACTGGAGTTATCGTGTTACGGACGTACGAAGAGTGAGTACTTAATTCTATTGATAATGTATTAATTAAAAGCATTGTAAGATCAATAGCTCCTCTAACATTGATAAAAGCTAGCAATCTTACAAAATTGTCAACTGGCATAAAAGTACAGTAGTTTTATTCCGAAATTATTTTTAAACCTTACCTAAGAGAATACAATTTTTCCTACAGTTACCTAACAATGTACATGTTCTCTCACTGATTTGAGAAAGCAAAGTGGCCAATTCGCTCATCAGTGAGACAATGTTAACATTGTCTCACTCTAATTACTTTGTCTCACTCCAGATTTGCAACGTGAAGGCACGACATAGTGAGCGCGTAACATGCAGGCAACGTCGTATGCGCGCGAAATACGTTGGCAGCACTGGCTGTAAATCAGCTGGTCAGCTGTTGTACTGTTGTATTTGTCACTTCACATTAAATGCTATATTAAAAGTTCACTTCTGTGTAAAAATATGTTAAGTTTCTTCACCAATTTATTTGTTTTATGGTAACTGTAGGAAAAATACAATGTGCAACTCGAGTGCAAAGTACAATTGCCTCACTCGAGAAACCATTCCTCACTCGCCTACGGCTCGTGATTTCTCTCGAGTGAGTCACTTGCTCACTTTGCTCACTAGTTGCACAAATAACTATTGTTTGGAGACGAACAATGTAAACTTTCACAGCTTTGCCACAATCATCCATGGTCTTTATTAGACTACAACATGCATTTCAAACTAAACCCGACATGTACTTGTACAGTTCCTTCTGATTGAGTTGGGTGAGTTCAGTATTGTTGTGGGGAGAAGTACAATACAATAGTTGAAACCACTAGGGTCGCTGTACTTCCAAGTAATTAGCTTAAACACGTGAAGGGCTATAGAATCTGTTGTTCGAAATTAATGTTTTCCTTGGAGCTCTACACAGCCCTTTGGCAACAACTTGGCAACAACTAGGCAACAATAACTAGCACACTACACTTGATTACATTTAACTATGATTTAACATAGTTAACGTAATAAATTTAATATAGGTTAAATTTTGGTAACAAATTCATCAGAACTATTACTGGCACTGCTTTATGGGATAGTGGGCTGGTTTAGTGGATGAGCGCTGACCTCAGTACCGGGTTCAAACCCTGTCAACAACCAATGGATTTTTACCTATATAATAACAACTTTACATTACATATAGTAACGTGTTACACAGATTTCAGGCTACAGCCTAGCGTCCTAGGCAGTAAAGGTGGGGAAATGTAATCGATAACTGTTATAAACAATTTTTAAAATATAGATAAGTGCTGTAGTTTGGAAAAAACAGTTTTGTGCACACCAGTAAAATCATTTTGTCATTTAACTGTGTATAGTGTTGGTAGATAGGTCAAGTCCCTTTGAAAAGGCTTTCGTAATTTCAAGCGATTCCGTAGATAATGGTTTAACTATGTTTACATAATACCATCGACTATTGGATGCCGAAGTCATCGATATCAATAGTCAAAGAAAATTAAGATAATACTTGATCTTCATATAAGAATGTATCAAGCATAAAACATACGTTGCGTCGACTGAACCCAAAAAGAACACCTTTATATATCTTTTAGTTTATTTATAATGGTTTTTGGGGGAAATACAACGCAAATCTATTACGAAAAAATAATATATAGAGAATTATATCCACAAGTCAGCTGAGCCCTAAATAAAAATTCATCAGCGAAAAACTTTAACTATTTTGTAACAGCTTCAGAGCTGTGTGTAGGGAAGTGCACAAATCAGGAGTATTTTGTAGGGACTGAAGCCAGCAATTAAACACAATTTATTGACGCCCGTTATCTGCATAGGGTAAATCACAAGCCTTTGTATCGTAGGCGGTTGGGTTATGTAGGGGCTGCTACACCGTTGCGTATATATACAAGGTGGATTTTATTTGTGGTTAATTCCAGTCTTAGTTTATAAGTTTATCGTTGTAAAATGTTTATACTGATGTAATTTATAAGTAAATTGCATATTTCAATATTTTGAATGAATTTATGAGTCTTTAACTTATATCTTCAAGGAATAAAGATAATTTAAAATCAAATAAACCATATAGTTGAACAGGTTTTGTTTATTTTCTAAAAAAAAAAAAAAAAAAAAAAAAAAAAAAAAAAAAAAAAAAACTTTCAATAGCAAATTTAATTAATGATAGCATACAAACGTTCAATAGTTGTAGAAGAAATACTTTTTGTACAGTAGCTGCAATTTTGTAATATTAAACTGTGGATATTTATATTACAGTCTAACCACGTAGAAAAACAAATGTGAAGCACAATGTAAAGATTCGTTAAGCAATTTTAAATCCAATCGCAAAGTTTTATTAGAATACATATAACATTCACGTAGACACACTATTTGCTATTCGACTAAATATTTACTCTGTTATTCAGTGTAAATATGGAGGGTAAATTAGCTCTAAAAGATGGCAAACGCTGACACAAATCCCAGTAGACTGAGACGGAATCAATATTTACCAACTTCGACCTACGTCCGGCCAAAATAAACCTTGTCATGTTAGAGTGGGTAAAAACTTACATTAGGTTCTTTTATATTTAAAACTCTTTTAAATGCTACATTGTTTCTATTGCTTCCTATTAGAAAGAATAACCACCTTTTGCATACAAGAATGTACAAACTTGATTACAAACAGTGTTTTCCAGTATATTCAAAACTATGCCGAATACTTCCGGGCAAACACAATTTAAAGGCAAGCAATATCAAAACATGTTAAAAATTCAAAGCAAATCAAAGTACCCTCACAAGGGAAAACACAAAGAATCTCGGCAATATTGCGATACTTGAGCTGAAAGAGAATAAGGTTATTTGGACGTCAAAGTGTTCAACAGGGAGGGTAAAGGAAAATAAACCAAGCGGAGCGAAGAAGTGAAACTAATATGGGCAGAAAGTCAAAGCATGCGAGACCAGTTGCAGTCTTCTCATGTGTTCTCGTGTGTTGGCTTATCAAACAGCCAGACTGGTCAAAGGGGTCTGGACTGTACAAAGGCAGCTTATGGGAGCTGTGTAAAGCTTAGTATAGCTTTGCCAATGGACAAGTGGACAGTTGAGCGTTAAATTGTGCCTTCAATGTGACAATGGGGAAGTAGACACATTTAGTCTACATAAAGGCTTGCTAGGATAGTGAGCTAGGATTGGTGTTTTAAAAAACTGTGGTATTTCAAAATTTTTTAGTTTAATAGGAAAGCTATTACAGTAGGTCTCCTGGCAAGACGTCAAATGGTTACGGAGTGAATTAAGAAACTATACATTAATTTTTTGTCCCAATATTTATCTTCTAAGGAAACACTGTAATTTCCTTGTTTTGGAATATATTTTTACCTAAAGTTTAAAGTTTTATTTTATACCAAGGGACTATACCTAATAAAACAAACTTTATAAAATTCCTTGTAGCAGAAATCCTAAGTACTTACTAAAACTAGGGTTATTTAAATTAGGGGATTTGACATCTTTGAGGGAATATTTCAGTGGAAATCCAAACAGGCAAATGGACATTTGCTTCGTCAGCTGGTTTGCAGCGGCGGGGGTATGAAATTTATTCCAAATAAAACGTGTTACATTAATGTGTTTTAGACGCTCGAGAATAATTTATACTATGCAATCATAAGTTAATTGACCACACGGCAATAGGTGCTTAGGTATGGTAAGCATAAAAGCTACTGTAAAAACCAACAAACTATTATGGAATTATACGAGGTTGAAGCACCAGGGTGCGTATTCAAGATGAATACGGGTGATCAAATGTATAACACCTTTTTATTAACTAAGATTAACTCGTTATTTAGCTAGGGAGGTTAAAGTATCCCAGGAACAACTGGGTCCAGTTTCGAACCATTTAGGAGCATCCGTATTGTCATATAAACGAACCAATCCTTATAGCTACCGCACCACCTTCTAAAAAGCAGAATGTGCACAAAAAGCATCCATTAAATAACTGACAACATTGCATATTTACCTTGTCTTTGAGCATGTCCCGAACACTGGCTGCCTGATGACGGTAGCGATGCAGCTCCATCTGCAACTCCATGCACCGCTCCTGCCAGTCCACGGAGGCGCGGTGGAGCGGCGGCGACTGGGAGACCCGGCGGGGCGGAAGCCTCGGACTCCCAGGGTTGGAACCGCTCCAGGACGAACAAGAAGACCCGGGCACATCGCTAAGACGCGATAAAGGATCCGACAAACGGTGAGGACTCGCACTCTCTTCCTCCTCCATCACAAGACCATCACAGCTCCCGGGAGAAATTGCGACAAACTACGGGGTCCCCCAAGGATCTATCATTGCGCCATACTTTTTTACGAATTTCACTCTACGCAACAAATTAACGTTATAAATATCGGAAATGCAACACAACTAGAACAGTCTAACGATTTTTCAACGAATTTCAGCACCAACGATATCACGATTTTAACTTTATAGAATATCGAATGAAAACACGATCACAACAGGAGAGTAACGAGATAGAATTTGTGAACTGTGATGCGAGTAACTAGTGCGGTAACAATAACAGGAACAATCGGCGTCAGCTGCGACCCGACCCTGCAACAATGAAAACAATATTGTAACAAGAGTAAGAGGTATCACAAATCTAAAAATAAAACACCAGCTGCTGTAAAACAAATTTCTACTTTTTCATAGTAATTTCATTTTTACTCTACCTAAATAAATATATAAGAAAACCCTAAAAAAATAAATTAAAGTGGGCTTTATGTTCCTAAATCGAAAAAATATGAAATTATGCAGCTAAGCGAGTTATTTCGAAAACGTTTGCGTAGCACATTTCTAATGTGAGTTTTACTTAGAGTAAATTTTTTTGTCAATATTAGTTCAAGCATAACTAATCTCCATTAGTCATAGATAGCTTACAAATGGACAAAACCCCAATGTTTTACAAAGCAATGTGACCAGTGTAAAACCCAAAACACTTCATATAAAACAATGTCATTGAAAAAATTGAGACATTTCCACCAATTGATTTTTTTCAATACACATTAAATGTATTTTTGTGGATAAATACCAATATCAAATGAACAAAGTTTATTTAACAACCATTTTTATGGCCGGAAAATAATTTAAATTATCTTCACTTCGTTATTGCATATATTGAGTCAGCTATGGTTAAAGTCAATAAATTAGAGCATCTATTTCATGCAAAATCATTTTTATTGCTCGAATAAGAATCGATACGAAAAATCCCACTGAAACACCGTGAACTCAAATATAGGCTAAAACTTCAATGTAAACCTAAAAAGTAATTAATTTCAATCAACAAAGGCATTTAGACAATGTGAAGTGGACAAATAACTAGACGTTTGATCTCATTGAAGTGTTATTGACACCCAGTGAGCAAGAACTGAAGCAATATCCCCTGTGTAGTCTACACGTGTGAACCTGAAGCAATTGCTTCTCTGTTGCTTGTCAGTTCAAACATCTCATAGCCGCTGGGGATGTCTCAAAGAGACCCGGTCTCACAAGTCAAATTACCCGCTCTGTGTCTCAATGTTTGTCTAAATCGTATTACAATGGCCAGAATGTGATTAGGATGCGTTTGTAAAGTATTTCAATTGAAATATTTTTCCTTAGATTGTGGTTGAAATATGGATTTACAGTCTTGTTTGATTTCACGTTACGTTTTTGCTCAAGACCGTGATTTAAACTTAGTTGGTTAAACTTCACAGTTATTAGAATTTTGAAAGGATTCATTTAGCAGCATTGTTTTACTTGTCAACACGAGTAACGGACCAATGAAGTTAAAAGATTGAGAAAAAAGGTAAAATTGTAATGCTTCGAGCTTTAACTAATCAGCTGTTAAGACCAATTTAATTGATGAGTGGTGCAATTAGTGGTTGGTACAATGAGTGGCATCACTGTCAGTGGCAATGAGAGGTTATTATTGACGACATAACCTCTCTTAGAAGTTATGATTGTTAATAATTAAAAAAATGTCGTAGGTAAAGTAGTGTATGCAACTCTTAAGTACTTTTAATAACTATCTTTACGCGATTATTGTGTAAACTACTATAAAATCCTTTCAAAGGAATGGAAGGAACGTTTCTTGGCAGGTGTTATAACTTTGGTGTCTTGGACGGGTTACACTTCTTAGGATAATAGATTAATGTCTAGTAATTTACGGTTGTTTATGGAGTTCTTAATACATTATTGTGTTAACAATGAATTTCTTGAGTTTGTGTAACAATTCTCAATTCCATCAAACACTGTCCAGTTCCAAGTTAATTATTGAATTTTATTTAAACAAACCAATTTAAATTGCATACAGAAAGTTTGCATTCATTCTTCGTCGTTTAGTTATAAAAAGTATATCAATGAAAAATATCAATGAAATTGTCTTGTTTTAAATAATGTTACCCTTTCTACGGAAGCACATTATTAACAATGAACCAAAACTACTTGAACATCATAAACTAGTCCATTTAAGTGAGAGTATTCTAAATTTTCAAGTACTGGTTGTAATTTTAAATATTCATTTTAAAATCAAAAAAATAATTTTGGAATCTAAAGTACGACATTCCTTAAAGCTTTAGTGACACACAACTGTTATCCTCAATCAATACAAAAGTTCATAAAAGCTGCGGGTTTTTAACCAATAACTTTTGCGATTCTCGCCACTCCACCAAGGGTAGGTTTCCTCTACTCGAAGTCTAGTTATCAAGGTGGTTTTGTCAGACGTGTTCTAGCAACCTCAAGAGGACTTCGTGGTCAGTATCCAATCCTACCCTTACCACAAACTCTCGCACAACCATACAGAGAATGAGGTGACATCCCAGTCAGGCTTCCAATAAATATATTTGTTACAACAATAATAATAGGTAAGCAAATATTTAATGTTTATAATATAATAATAATGAGTAACCAAAGTGGTATCACAAACCATGGTTTAACGCATTGGGGTCATTGATGTTACAAACTCAGTTGGCGTAGCGTTGTAGGAGGGATTTAGTAAAATGTTAAAAATCGTATTTTTTTAATAAAGAATAAAACTGTTGAAGCTATTTCTGAAATAATAATGCTGCAAAAAATATGAACCACACACGAGTCCTGTAAATTTCAAATACTTTTATCAGCGGTTTTTTTTTTTGGTAACGTCAAGTTTCTTACGATGTACACAGAAAATGAACCTAAAATAAGTTTAAAATGTCATCACTAATAAGATGACCACTAACACTAATAAATCGAACCTTTAACGGATTAATTCAAATCTGGATTTATTGGTTGTATCTAAATCTAGTGATGATAACCATACAGGGCCCAAGAACTAGGGTTACCTATAATTCCATAAAGGTATGTGAATCAAGATTGTAATATTTACAAATAGTTGTAAATATTAAAAAAATTAACCTGATACTATTTTGCATTGGTTTTAAACTGACCATAGATTTTACTTTAGAAAAATTTAGGTTTTGATTTGAAAACTCGATCTCATGACGTTCAGTTACTTTTTTACGAAATTTGCAACTGTATGTTAACAACAACATTACCGTGTCCAAGCGAATGAAATATCGTTTTGCGAATACGTAAAAAAATGCATAACGTCGAAACATGGAAACGAAAATTGACAGACTTCACTTCAAAGCGATGTTCGGCACTGCTCCGAAACTAATACACCGTTAAAAAGCAGTACCCCGAAATCGTCTGTTGGAGCAGTGACTTTTAAAGTTATATTTATACTCTGAATCACTGTAAAATTCCTTTGGTGACCGAACTTAAAATCTTACACAGTGTTCGAGCAGTACAAAGCAAGAATCCTCTACAATTAGAATCGTTCACACAACAAATGTTCAGTTGCGACATTGTGCGGCAAACAGGACGTTGTCACGTATTTTCATTAGCGACAGGACCCCCTCGAGTGTACAACATCTTCCCTTTGTTTATTCAGCGTTGCAATTCGTTTACGGCTTCCGTCTTGTCGCTATTATTCTTCAATTAGCGACAAAATTTGTTTACGCTGGTGCGAATTCACGAGAAAGGGTGTAGAATACGTGTAGTTAGATAGCTATGATATTGTTTTACTTAAACTTCTATCTGCAACTACATAGTGTAAAATTGTGTATGATTGAGTTTTTCGTACATAATTTTTACTTTCTCCCCCTATAGAAAAAGTGTTGTTTTCGTTAAGATTTCCCAAATTGGATTTTTGAATGGAAATATCCATTTTGTGATCCCCTGGTTTTAGAATTGACTACTTAAACGATTTAGAATATAATTTAGTATGTTATACTATGAACAAATTGGTACAACCCCCAATACTGTAAGAACAACGGTTCAAAAGTTATTGACACTAAAAAAAGGTATATAACTGTTAAGGGAGGAAATATGTGTCAGTTTGCTGATAATAAAATAATAAATAAGATAATACGATAGTAAGATGATGAATGAAGTGGATCACTCTATGTTCCTCCATATGTGAACCTACAGATTAGCTGAGTGATAGTTTTCGCCTAATATTTAGTAGTTAGACAGTTCAATCCTGGAAAAAAGCCATTGATTTTGATTGTTCAAAACGAAAACCCCTTTCTCATAACATACGATTTTAATTAAGTGGCCTTGAATGAAAAACACTGTTAATTTAGACAGTAGCAAAGCTACACATATAGTTTACTCCATATCTTAAAGACGCCATTTTATTGAATCATATTTTCCGTAAACAAATCCAAAATTCCATTGATTCAGTTATTGTTTTTGGCTGCATCTATGATAAATTAGGTTGTATCGAAATACCCTCATAATCATTAATAAGGTGTACTAAAAGTGTGTTACTTTAAGCGTCCCTGAGTCAACTTCCCCATACTGTTCCTGTAAATATCGGTTATTGCCATATTATCATTTATCTTGTCTTCGCCAAGAAGCCTGCAGCCGACGCAGACTAAAGGCCTGTTCACACCGGCGTAGCAAGACGTCTGCAGACGTATTCGGTGTATTAATACGTCGCCAGTGCACTGTTCACACCGCAGCTTCGTTTGACGGCTACTTTGCCGGCGAGCCGGCTGTTGTTTGTTTATTTCATTATATTATTTTATATTTGTTAGTTTATTGTTTATTTTTATTCGTAATTCATGAATTTCAGTTAAGATTGCCAAGGTTAAATTACAGCTTTTATAGTACCCTGAATTGACAAAAATATTTCACTCTAATTTTAGGCCGTATATAGTTGGCTATAAGATTTGCGCTATATTATAATAAAAAAAAATATTACCAGAAAACATGCAATAATTTTGCTCATCCATAAGGATTACATTATAAAATAGTCTATGGTGTAAGTAAGACCTATGTCTAGATATAATTAATTATAATATAATATATTATTATATATATATTATATCGGGGAGCGAGCTGGCGTAGTGGCTAGAGCGCGGGACTTCGGTCCGTGAGGTCCCGGGTTCGATCCCCGCCAAGTCACCAATGGATTTTATCTAAGTGATAATGCCGCAACCCCTAGGTCTAGCCTGAAGTAATGTGAAAAACAATCCCAGGCTCGTGCCTAGCGTCCTAGGACAAAAAAAAATATATATATATAATATATT